TACCCTGTGCATGATTAAGGGAAAATTAAATTAATACGACGCGTGAATGAGACAGAGAGGCTAATGTGATCCATGAATTCATCAACCAATGTGAGCCATAAAATGCCTCCTGAAATAATGTGACCTATGAAAATTTTTATTTCATTTATTAAAAACTCGAGATTTCCCTTAAACCTTGAACACAAGAAGAGAGATTTGAAGTATTCCCCATTAGATACGTGAAATGTGAACTCTTATTAAATTTGTGCGTGAGACGGGATCAGGACCCTCTTTGCTATCATCATTAAGGAACAGAAACTAACTTTGTTCTCCGCATTTCCATGCTATGTATCACGCCTTCGTTTTCTATCTTAACATTGATAATCTTGTCCAATTTGCATTTGATATTGCTGATCTGTCGGCGCCAAAACGCCGTTTAATAGTGTTTTTTTTTTCTGATCTCAAATGTCTTATAAAATCTCTGGTTATCAGCACACCTCTTGGCAAAAATGTTCTTATTTCAGATGATCCAATCAAGGAATTCAAGGTAAGTTTTCCTCTCAGTCTTTTATTGCAAAGCATTCTGCAAAATACTTAAAAGCATATAATTCGTAAAACAGAACATAAAACATGAAAGAGAGGCGTTGCTTTCTGAATGCTACATGCATTAATGATCATGATTTTAATTTGTTTATGGATTAAAGTAAGGAACTTCGCACCTGCATTGGAAAATTAAGTCCCGAGTCTCTAAGAAGGAAAAATAATAGCTCATTTTTCACACTTATGTCCCTAGTCTCTGTGCTTTTTATTTCCTCGACACCATTCGATGCTTAGAATTATATGTATTAACCAAAATATTGAATTGAATGTTTTCATTTACCTTCACATATATTGCCTAATCCGTATTCACATTCAAATTCAACCTAAGATATGGCTTCCTCAAATATTCCAACTTTAAAGGGATAATTTACGGTTAATAATCATAACTTAATTTCTTTCTTTGCAAATACTTTTGCTTTTCATCACTTCCTAAGGTGTTTAGTTTAACATCAACACTTATTTTGAATTGTTAGACCTGCTTGCATTTTAGTGTCATTAATTAATAAGAACTTTTAAGCAACAAAGCTTTTTGCTTTTCATCGAAAATCTACAGCTGAGAAAGCTGATTAGGGTGAGTTTATTGTTTTATCAGATCCTAAATTATCTATATTTTAAGCCAATATAAACAATTTGAATGGTTCAGAGACCTTTTCGCATTGCTGAGGGTGTCAGTGGAGTGATGGTCATTTTAAAGACTAACGGCTAACCCAAATGGCATCGAAAATAGGAGATGAAGTTTTTTGGCTTGACTTTTTTTAGTACTAACGGTTAAAATTTGTCAACTCTGACGCCTTAGGCTAATTTTTTGGCTGTTTCACGGCTAACGGTTAACCACATGGAGACCCTTTTAGTGGATGAACGCAACTTTGATAGATGCTATCCAAACAGCTCTTTAAAAAATACGCAATGTTTTCTCCTTGAAAACCTATATTCATGTTTCAATTTCTTATAAATTTATATGCTTGATAGTAGCTCCTCTTGTTGATCCAAACGTAAGTTATTTTTACAATAATGCGAAATATTTCCGCACAAGTCAATGCTAAGGAAAATTGTCAAGAATGATACCGTTAGTGAAAAAGTATCTCATCTTTAGACAACAGAGCCAGAAGTTACTCATGCTTTGGACTTACCTGAGGGAGTATCACAGTATTCCTTTACTTTTCAAGATTAATAGAGAGACCTTTGAAAACGAAATGTATGTTTAAATCTTAAATGCTGCAACGGTAAAGCATGTAACATGATCCCGCATTTTAAAACTAGTCTTTCAAATGCCACCATAATTATTACCCTAAACTCTTTTGGCTGAAACCCAAGAGCAATATACCTTTTTCCTGAAATTCAAAACACGCCTCATTTTCACAATGTTGATAAGGAAACTTAGGTTTATATTCTTCCAAATGTCTCAGAATTCGTTGGTCTTTCAAAACTCGTTTCTATTCATAACAAAGCTATGGAAATGTTCTTTTGACAGTAAGGAAGGCAGAAGGAAAAATATTTGTAACTACGTCATGACATATAGACCGAACACAAAGTAGATCCTTGCGTAATGATCGACAGCCAAATAATATCCCGTTCAGTCTGACTTTAATAACTCAGTCATTATGCATTTTTTATCTTTTTTTTTTCGTGATTTAGATAACTGCTGCTATTTTTCTTTATTCCTTACACTTTCACACAAGGAATTAGTAGTTTTATCCGGCCTCGCTCTCCCCATCGCGTACGGCCCTCATGCAGGGTTTGTCGCAATATTGTCGAGTGGTTATGGACTGGTAGTTTTTAAGAACCCGTCTACGCTCTGCGCTATAGACGCGCTAGAAACTTGCTGTATTCGTTTTCATGTTAAAATGTGACACGGGATGTTTTTTTCCCTGCTCTTTAACATTGCTAGGACCTAAAAACCATGGCTGATCTGGATCAGAGCTTCTACGTGGACCACAACTCTTACTTAAGGTTCGATAAAAAAATAAATGGAACATATAGAAGATAAATTCAAGTTAAAACAATTGTACTTGATCTGACATAGTTGAATAGACCTGCCTGTGCGAATTTCTCCGCAATCGTCCATGTGAAATTTAGCAAAAGCAGGTCCTAGCATCAGCGAATGATGTATTGAATAGATTTGTTTAAATATTTAAGTAAACATTTACGCAATTAAGTAAGCGTACTGAATACTCTGTAATTATATTCAGATACAACAGCTTATGACTGATGATGCTAAGATCAGTTGTTTTCTTTCCAAAAACATATTTGTCTCTATTAATTGGTTAGAAAATGCACTTTACAAATGCAGTTCAGCATCAAAATAAAATTAGAAATATAAAGCATTCATTTAAGGTTATTTACATATTAGAGCCACGAATTATTGAGAAGTCTTAGCACCAAATAATTTTTTTTAACTTAAAGAGACCCTTAGAATTGATTTCTTTGCATCCATAGTATGGCATTCCATGTCGTACGAAATGTACCTTTTTGAGACTCTTTGTTTTACATAACTGATGAATATCGTATTCGACTCAAACAGATTTTGTATTGCTGAACATGACTTCTTTTTCTCCTACTTTTTTTTATCTAAGATATATTTTTTGATTCTAATCAGCTTATCTACGGCTGCGAACGTACACGTTGCTGTTGTAGAAAAGGATGGCAGATCCATATAACATTTTTGTAATGTACTAGAAAAGGCAATCTCCAATCAACTCACACAGTATCTTGATTAAGGAGAATGATCCAAATGAAAGCTTGCGGTGAGCCTACAAGACCTTTCACAGCACTGAGAGTGCCCTAACTAAAGTTCACAATGACGATATGTTATTCTCCTACTCCTCGATCTATCTATCGGCGGTGTTTGATACAGAAGACCACGAGATTCCGGTGAACAGACTTTCTTCAAGATTTGATATTCATGTAAAAGCTTTTATTAAATGAAATCGATGCACGGATGCTGTCAAATATGCTAAAGCTTAACGGGGATAAAACAGAACTTCTGGTATTCGGTCCAAAAATAAACCTGCTCCGCCAATCGATTGAATCCACGGCTGGCGAACACATAAAAGTCTCCAATCATGCAAAGAAAATAGGTTTAACTTTCGAGGTTATATGAATCAAGAGAAACATGTTATTGACATCTGCAAAGTATATTTCTATCACCTTCAAAATATAGCCGAGATAAGAAATTATCTTTCTCAAGATGAAGTCGAGATACTTGTTTATGCATTTATAATTATTTCGTCCAAGCTTGACTACTGTAATGCTCTCCTTCATGGTCTACTGTAATCTCTTCTTGATAGGTTGCAGTATGAACAGAACTACGCAGCTTGACTCGTGTCTATAACTAAAAGTACTGAACATATAACACCGGTTTACGTCGACTGCATTGGCTACCTACTGTACAACGAATTACATGCAAGATTTTACAATTCACATATAAAGCACTAAGCGGCATGACACCGAAATATCTCACTGATCTTCTTTAACCATAACAGCCCAAAAGGAATATAAGTCTAATCTGAGGACCAACGGTGATAGAGGGTTCAACGTTGCCTCTCTCAAACTTTGGAACTCACTCCCAACCAATCTAAGATAAATTTCACTGGTCTTAGTTTTAAAGAGTAAGATCAAGAATTTTCTCTTCAAAGAGACTTTTGATTAAGATAACTTAAGAGAAAGGATCAAAATGGTGCGATTGAGTGCGTTCAACTTTTATAATGATATCGATACAATTAATTCAATCTTTTTTATTGGAACTTTTAATTTTGTTTCAATTCGTATGATGATATTGTAATTCTAAGTAAAAGTGGTTTTAATCTTAATTACAAACATTATAATTGTATCATAAGCATAAATATCCCATTTTTGTAACAGAACTATCCTTTCTTAAGGATTTTAACTTTTACTTGAAGTCTTCTATGTCATATTAAGAAAATGAAAACATCCTAGCTGCTCGATCTCACCCAATGAAATGCTAACAAACTGGTGCAAATCAGTATCCAACAATTATTGTCTTTTACTACGATGCTCAGGGGCGGATCCAGGATTCTTTTGAGGAGGGGTGCACCACTAAAGAATGGCGTAACTGACTGGTGACCGGACGTAAACAAATTGTAAAAGCGAATACGAAGAAGGCTTTTGCCTAGGCAATAACATAATATATATTACACGACTCGGGCAGTCAGAGGGCCAATAACTAAAATCAACCAATCAAAACGCTCTATTGTCGGTCAATATTCTCTCAGTATTGGACCGGGCACGGTCCCGAATGATACCGCAATTGTGTCCCTTTGAACTTCAGTCGTATAATAAATCTCTTATTAACCAAGCTTGCTCGGGACCGTACTGGAAGAATATCGGCCCTC